CTTCACAGACCAGCAGTATTTTTACTCTTCAAGTCACAGATCATCATTGGTAAAACATCTTCAAAAAACAACAGTATTACTCCTCCCGAAATCACAGATCGTTATCGATAATATATCTTCACCGACTAGCAGTATTACAACTTTTGACGCCACAGATCGTCATTGGCATTTTTCGAATAATATATAATTAAAGGACAATATTGGTGTCACTCATCATCACATATATGATAGAAATCGTTAAAGGGACAATAACACTCTTGATAGCTTAGCCTTATTCTAAGTATTAGATGTGTTAGTGTCTTACCTGTTGTGTAAATTATCCATTAAATCCTATTTTACTTGTCTAGAGGGTTCAAAAATATTTTAAAATCCAAGTCGTATTTGAAAAGCTTTACGTCAGGCTTTTCAAATCATTTAGTTGAATTTTTCCAATTTTTTAAATTAGGTGTGTTAAGATGAAAGTTATATCACCAATTAATTGGAATATTGTAAAATAGTACAATTTGTTGACCAGAATAAGGATTGGGACATATTATTCAGTTACAACAAGAGTGGTAGAGCCTTTAAATACGTTCCAAATGTAATTTTAACACCGATATCATTGCTACGATAGATACGTAATGAAGGTTTCAACAATCGGAAGTGACAAACGCAAAAGGAAAACCTTCTCTAAAACTGACTGAAGTGACGAGTGATAACAGGTTTGGAAAGTGTTTAACGAGTTCTATCACATATGTGATAATGACTGAATATTGTCCTTTAATCCACGCTATAATGTCCTCAAATCTAACATTAAGAAAACAAAATATTAATGGCAGATAATCTCCGAGCTTGCATTCAGTCAAGTTCAAAAGATTTCTTAGCTTCTATTATAAATGAAATGGGGTTTAACGTCTTACTGTTCTGCTCCGACTGGCTTAATGAAGACGGGTATTGGTTATAAAACTGATAACAGAGAGCGAGGAATGGGGTTTAACGTCATCGCAACACACAATAGGCCATTTCGGGACTAACATGGTTTAATTTTATTCCAATATTTAGCTTGCGCCCAGGGGTCTTTGGCAGTGAGAGGAAACTGGAGGACTCGAAGAAAACCCACAAGGTTGAACAGGCGACTCACTCCTTGTCAGGTGTCTAGTCGTTCGGATGGGACGAAAAATAGAAGTCCCGTCTACACATTGGCGTGCACGTAAAAGATCCCTTGGCAGATGTAATCTCATAAGAGTAGGCTATAGTGCCGCTGCCCGGGCATATTCCTTAGCCTACCCGGTGCAGAAAAGCAGGGCGTTCAACCCCCATTTCCTTTCAGTTCAGAATCGCCCCTGTACGTTCAGAATAACACCGTGACGTAGGAACAAGTGTGACGTCATCTTCTGGAGCACCTGGTACAACATTACAAGAAATCAGCCCAGATCTAATATGGCTCGCGATGATGTATATAGCTAGACGCTAATCATCCGTGACAGTTGGGTGTTTTTACATGTGTTAGCTGTGTTGCAATCCACCATTTCAAATGTTTAAATGGGAAAGAATATAAATGAACTTTTTTTTTTTAAAGAATCTGTTGTATGTCCAGTATGATCGAGTAACAATTTACGGAGATTACGTCACACCAAGGCGCCAATTACTGGAAGAACGATAATAGCTTAAATTCTCAGATGTCATTTGAGACTTTTTTAACCGTTGCATTCTACAATATTCTGATAGTTGGTCTCTAAAAGTGGTTCAATTCCCTTCGGTATTTACAGAGATATGTTCGTCACGTAAGAATGTGGGGTCGATCCACGACATATGCATCTTCTGGACAGACCTTATGATCTATAGCACACGTGTTAAACACCCAAATGACCGGCCATTCTTGGGACGTCACCTAATTCTACAACACTGCAAATAGTATATCTGACGATGCCCTTTTAACGTCCGCCTCCGCATATGATATCGCATTTAATGGCCGACGTTCGTTTTCATCGATCGTGTAAAAATGGACGAAGCTTCAGTGGCTAATAACACGACATATAAACACATCCTTTGACACGGGGTTTAACGTCTTACTGTTCTGCTCCGACTGGCCTAATGAAGACGGGTATTGGTAATAAAACTGATAACAGAGCGAGGAATGGGGTTTAACGTCATCTCAACACACAATAGGCCATTTCGGGACTAACATGGTTCAATTTTATTCCAATATTTCGCTTGCGCCCAGGGGTCTTTGGCAGTGAGAGGAAACTGGAGGACTCGAAGAAAACCCACAAGGTTGAACAGGCGACTCACTCCTTGTCAGGTGTCTAGTCGTTCGGATGGGACGAAAAATAGAAGTCCCGTCTACACATTGGCGTGCACGTAAAAGATCCCTTGGCAGATGTAATCTCATAAGAGTAGGCTATAGTGCCGCTGCCCGGGCATATTCCTTAGCCTACCCGCTGCAGAAAAGCAGGGCGTTAAACCCCATTTCCTTTCAGTTCAGAATCGCCTCTGTACGTTCAGAATAACACCGTGACGTAGGAACAAGTGTGGCGTCATTTTCTGGAGCACCTGGTACAACATTACAAGAAATCAGCCCAGATCTAATATGGCTCGCGATGATGTATATAGCTAGACGCTAATCATCCGTGACAGTTGGGTGTTTTTACATGTGTTAGCTGTGTTGCAATCCACCATTTCAAATGTTTAAATGGGAAAGAATATAAATGAACTTTTTTTTTTTAAAGAATCTGTTGTATGTCCAGTATGATCGAGTTACAATTTACGGAGATTACGTCACACCAAGGCGCCAATTACTGGAAGAACGATAATAGCTTAAATTCTCAGATGTCATTTGAGACTTTTTTAACCGTTGCATTCTACAATATTCTGATAGTTGGTCTCTAAAAAGTGGTTCAATTCCCTTCGGTATTTACAGAGATATGTTCGTCACGTAAGAATGTGGGGTCGATCCACGACATATGCATCTTCTGGACAGACCTTATGATCTTAAGCGCACGTGTTAAACACCCAAATGACCGGCCATTCTTGGGACGTCACCTAATTCTACAACACTGCAAATAGTATATCTGACGATGCCCTTTTAACGTCCGCCTCCGCATATGATATCGCATTTAATGGCCGACGTTCGTTTTCATCGATCGTGTAAAAATGGACGAAGCTTCAGTGGCTAATAACACGACATATAAACACATCCTTTGACACGTTTATCCAGTTATCGATTTCCTCGTTATCCAGTCGTACGTTGCTATGGATATATTAACCTGGGAACGATCTACTCCATAACACGAGATATCTTAATGGAATAATACAGTTCATGGTTTGGACTATATGCTCGACATTTGTGGTTGTCGTGGTTACAGTAAACAAAATATCCTTTTCCAATCGCCTTTTGTTGGTCGTTATCTAAGGGCCATCTGTGAAATAAAGTGTTCCAGTTGACGCCTGACAGTCAGGGGCTGGGAGCTATCTACACCGAGCGACAACACTTGGAGAGGGAGAGAGAGCCCACGCCAATTTACTCAATGACAGACCTTACGATACAGCGCGCGCACGCTAACCATTCGGCCATCCAACCCGGCCCCCCCCCCCACCACACCGACACTTTATGGAGGCGGCACTTTTGGATTAACAGAATTGGAGTGACGTCCCACTGTTCTGCTCCGACCTGCAGGGCACTTTTGGTCAACTGCATTGGAAAATGCAAGTTATGCCGTTCAGTAGAATACATGACACTGACGGTTTTAATATGGTTCAAGTGTATTCGTTTTGTTTCGGACAGGGGTTTAACGCCCTATTTAGCTGCGCTCGATTGGGATAATAGAGAAGGGCATACAGTGGACTACCGAGGGAAATTTTGCACACGGTACTCGATTTTTCGACCCATCCGAAAAACTATACGTTATCACTAGCCAGGCCCTGTCCTGCACCGCTTACTAAAACCGATGAACTTTCTCGGCCCACACCAGGATTAATCAGAGGGGAACGGGGTTTAACGTCCACTCGACACAAACTAGGTCATTTCGGGACTAACACATGGTTCAATTTTTTTCAATAATTCGCTTGCGCGTAGGGGTCTTTAGAACAGCAGATGTGACCAATTACCTTAAAAAATGTCCATGTAGTTTTGTGCAATATACTTGGAATAGATCACGAGATAAAGGAAAAATTAAGGTAATTGGTCACATCTGCTGTTCTTAAGTTCATTTACCACCTAAATATTCATTCTTAAGTTAGTGGTTGTGAATCCTATGATCAGTCCCTACATTTTACACCTTGTTCCAATGTCGCACCTTGCATGTTAATTAAATTTCTAATTAGGGGGGGGGGGGGCATTCGGTGCAAACCAGCATTATTCTCCTCTTAAGTACACTGACCACCAGAAATTTCATGCTTAAGTTGATGATAATGATTTCCGATATTATTCCGTACAATTTAGGCTTAGGCTTCCTCAATCGCACCTTTCATGTTTAACATTTTATTTACCGATGCGAAAAAGGTAGAACGCTAGGTCGGCGACGATCCTGCATATTTTAGAACATATGACGTCATTATGTGGATTGTGGGGTATGGTAAGGACCTGCAGATTTCGTCAAAGTCTCGAGATGTAAACAGGGCGAGCGCTAACCCTTACCCTTACCCACACGCACAATCCACATGACGTATGGGCACGACCATCTCCGATCTAGCTTTCTCCGCGAAAAGAGTCGGTCTAATGCAAATGTAATGGGGGTTTTTCGAACAACCATCGAATACCTGCGCGGAAAAGCCTCATGACGGGCTTTTAAGTCTTGCAAAGTGATTTCGTCAAAAGTCCGAGATGTAAACAGGGCGAGCGCTAACCCGAACCCTTATGACGTATGTGCAGGACCATCTCCGATATAGCTTTCTCCGCAAAAAGAGTCTAATGCAAATGTAATGGGGGGTTTTCAAAAAAACCTGCGAAAACCTGCGCGGAAAAGCCTCATGGCGGGCTTTAAGTCTTGCAATGTTTTGTTTACAATAGAAAAAGAAAACTGTTTTTAAACTTTTTTTTTATTCCCAACACCTTATATAGAGTAGGTCAGAGTTCAAGGTCTACATATCAAATAATGACCGGATATAATTTGATATAGTTGAACATGGTTTACGTGGATTGCTGAAAAGTAAAAGGATTACATGATAAATTCGTTTTAGATACATTGCTTATTACTGATCTTTCACTGATCTTTAATTTTAGTTTACCGCACCGACTAGACCAATGAAGACGGGCATACGCAAATCAGAGTTCTATGAGAGAGAGAGAGAGAGAGAGCGAGCGAGCGAGAGCGAGAGGGTTTAACGTCCACTCGACACAAACTAGGTCATTTCGGGACTAACACATGATTCAATTTTATTTCAATAATTCGCTTGCGCGTAGGGGTCTTTAGCAGTGGGAGAAAACCGGAGGACCCGGAGAAAACCCACGAGATTGGACAGGCGACCCTACTCCTTGCCACGTACAACCGGGGAATCGAAACCCCGCCAGTTGACTCAATGACAGACCGTATGATACAGCGCGCGCAAGTGCTAACTATTCGGCAGCCCCCCCCCCCAGTGCTATGAGGGAGGGGGCCCTCATATTTTCGTCTCATCTGAACTGTACACGAACCTCGACTTTATGAAATGGTTTAACGTCGTACTGTTCTGCTCCGACTGAAATAATGAAGACGGACTTACGCCATAGTGTGCTATGAAGGAAATTATATCCTGGACAACGGCCTAGTCTTGTATCGAATTCCAACTGCCAAGGGATCTTTAACGTGCTCACCAATGGTGTACACGGGTCCTCGTACCACCCGAACGACTAGACGGCCCTCTGTTCTGCACCACTAACAAGGGGGAAGCTTCACCGGAAAACACCGATGAAAAGCAGGGATCGAACATGGAACCTCCAGACTAGCGAGCCAACGTCCAATCCACCGAGGCTCCGATTTTTTGAAAATATACCATTGGAATCTAGAGGAAAATGAAATGAAGTTTAACGTCCAACTGTTCTGCTCCGACTGGGCTAATGGAGACGGACACCCCATACTGCAGTGTGCTATCGAGTCCCAACTGCCAAGGAATGTGTACACGGGAACTCGGTTTTTCGTTCCATCCGAATGACTGGACTGGAATCCAGATATCACAGAGAGAATGCACAGTCTTTAGGATGTGATCTTGGGTTTTTTTTTGCCACCTACAAGCTTGGGAATACTCTGTACATGAGTAACGATGACAGATCTTGTGACCTATACACCACATGTGTTAGGATATGGACACTGAATATTTGTTTTGATTTTATACTAATACCTGAAAAATTGACCGAGTCATTAAGCCGAGGAAATAAAATTTGGATACGAAATGAGTTTAACGACTTTGCGTGTGTGGGAGGGGGGGGGGGGAGTGGTTAGTGCGTGCGCGTTGTGTCAAGGTCTGGCATCGAGTCAACTCGGGTCGTACGTGACAAGTAGGGTTGCCTGTCCAACCTTGCGGCTTCTCTCTGGGTCCTTCGGTTTCCTGCCACTGCTAAAGACCCCAATATAAAAAGCGCAAGCGAATTATTGACAAATTTAACCATATGTTGTTCCTGAAATGTCCTAGTTTGTGTCGAGGACCTCAAACCCACTTGCCCGCCTTTCTCGTTTACCCGCCTACTTTTCTGCACAAAGCAGCCTAATGAATACATAATTAAATTCAAAAAATGTTTCAAAATTCTAGCATTTACTTATTACTGAAAATCTAAACAATGATCTATTGGGAGTTTAGGTATTTCAGCAAGCGTTCGATAAACTGAAATAAAACTCCAGTTTGTATGTTCATCTTTCTCCACTCGCTAGGTTGTTTGTCACTAATTTTTAATACAATCTAACATGCAATCGTGTAGTTAAAATCGGAAATTTATCCATCTGGGAAGGTTTCCAAAAGCGTTAATAATCGACTCATTTGTTCAGGATGGAATTTTAATCAGTTTTCATGAACAGATTTTCCGCTCACGTCAACCTAAAGCAACAGTTGTAAAAAGATAAAATTACACAAAGCTTGTTTCAGTTTACATTGTGGACAGAGCGAAATGAGATGCTCTTGTCATGTGAGGTGACTGCGAGTTTTCTGTGCTCTTCTTTACCTGCTATTATATTTAGCACAGCATTTGAAAATAAAAATAATTTAGACTAGAAGATATGAGCCAAAACTGAGGGGTTTCGAGAATGTCAAAGGGGGTCTTTTGCTTTTTTTTTTTACAAGCAAAATATCGGATTGTACAGATTCAAGTATTCGGCGAGTTAGACAAAACCAATCATCGAATTCCCGTACTCTGGCTTATATTCTATCATTTCAGTCGATTTCACGAAATTCTGTTGAAATAACGACACGCCCCCCCCCCCCGACGCATACACCTAATATTAGTATGGCAAAAGGGACCAGAACTTCTAATCTCCATTTATAGTCCGCTTCCCGAAAACTCCGTCCTAAAGACGTTATTTTTATTTAAAGTAGCTAAGTCTCTAACTCAATATCATCCAAAATCTTCGACATTGAAAACACGATTTATTTGTCGATTTAAATCAACATTGATGTTGTGATCTTACCGGGAAAAGATAACCTTCTGATATCCAATATTTAAGACAAAATAAACATTTTACAATTGGTACACGAATCGTGTACCATAATGCGTTTCAGCGCTATTTGTAATAAGGGACTCGAAAAACGAGGCTAGGCATATTCCACAAGACTTTAGTCATGTCAAACGGTGACGCTATATTCTTATCTGAAGAGCATGCCCAATAAATACTATCGGCGTAGATTGAAAAAACCAGACGCTAGAGATTGAAATTCGATTGAGAATACTGGCGTATTTCGCCGAACCTAACTGATTAGAAATAACAGTAAAAACAGAAACGATTGAATGTAAATCAATTTATATACATTCATATTACATTATTGTATGCGTTGCGACCCATTTGTGTCAATTTCTAGGTCCCAAATATTAGCGACTTAGCTCCTTTAAGTTATAACCCTCTTAACATGTGATAACCATAGTTTCTATTCCCCAATGATATTCCGTTTTCTGAAACTCCACTCTATAAACGTGGTCTATTCTTGATTATCAAGTCTTGTTAAAACTAAAGGGTAATACTATATTATAATCAATACCCACCATCTCTTGTCACACGGCTTTTTGCCAATCAATTTGCTGTTCGAGGTTTTCGTCATTTTTTCCTTCCGATTTAATATTTAGAAGCTAGAAATATGTAGCGATTTTTGACAGGGTTTATAGAACAATTAACGAGAAATTCTTCTAAGCGTAATAATTCTGTCACACTGCATTAAGTTGCAATAATGGGGTCGATAAGTCTACGTCACTTGTTGCTACATTTAAAGAACAACTTATCCATGCGACAAACAATTCATGTAACATTTTGTTTCGGAGCAAAACAGGACGTTAAACCCCATTTCATTTCATTTGTAACGTTTTGTATTCACTCCAGTGATATAAACTGCAATCATGGAGTCATGCTTGTGTTATGGGTGGGGGGGGGGGCGTTTTCTGCTACTCGTAATTCTAATTTCAGCCAGGTGATATAACGTGCATCCCATCGTATACAAGAGACATCGGGGTTCTCATTCGAACAACTAGACGTTATTCATTGCACCCCTTCCCAAGTACAAATTTTAGCTCTTCGCAAACAGAAAGGGGTTAAACGCTTAGTTTACACAAACTAGGTCATTTCGGGACTAACATGGTTCAATTTTATTTCAATAATTCGCTTGCGCGTAGGGGTCTTTAGTAGTGGCGGAAACGGGAGGAAACCCACGACGTTGGACATGGACAGGCGAGCTTACTCCTTGTCAGTACAACCGGGGAATCAAAACCACGCCAGCTGACTAAGTGGCAAACCTTATGATACAGCGTGCACGCGCTAACCATTCGGCCACCCCCTTCGCAAAAAGGGCTGCCATTCTTAAAATATTTCTGCTTCTAAGTTATGGTCCCTGTACATTACATCACGTCATTAAATGATATCACAAAGGGGAATAACTCATTACCTGTCTGATTCTTTTAGAAATGCATTCTCTGTGACACTATTAATACCACCATGGTCACACAGAATCTTTGATAAACGAATCTTCTTTATCATGTTTAATTGATCTGAAAAACAAATTAAAAGTAGCCAGGTCTAACTCAACATCATCCAAAGTCTTCGACAAAAACACAAAATTATTTATCAATTTAAATCAACATTGATGTTGTGATCTTACAGGGAAAGATGGGCTTCTTATATCTAATATTTAAGAGAAAACCATTTTACCATTGGTACACGAATCGTGTACCATACTGCGTTTCAAGGCCATTTGTAACGAGGGACTTGATGAACGAGGCTAGACATACTCCACAAGTCATGCATGTCAAACGATGACGTCATATTCTTATCCGGACAGCATGCGCAATAAATACAATCGGCGTAGACTGGAATAACCAGAAGTTAAAGATTGCCATTCGATGGAGATTTCTAGCTTTTTTCGCCGAACATAACTGATTAGAAATTGCAGTAAAAAAAAAAACGATTTAATGTAAATCAGTTTACATACATTCATATTACATTAGATGCGTTGCGAACCATTTGTGTCAATTTGTAGGTCCCAAATATTAGCGATTTAGCTCCTTTAACTACTCTCTAGACGGAATAAGTAAATGGGACGGACCGAGCGGACGACAATATTCGCCTCTGTAACATGGATGTGTATAAAAACTTGTTCCAGAACTTATACAAACTTCTTTGAAAAACTAACAGGTTTTACCAGGTCTATTTGGTCACGAAATATTCTGGATTACGCGAATCCAGTGGCCTAACTGAATGACAAATGTGGGCCTGGGCTCGGCAGTCATTAATACTTAAATATTGATTTTTGAGTGGTTTTCAACAATTCAGAAAGCCTCCACTCCATATAGAATTAGACGACTGTCATGGGAGGTGACGTCATATCATATTGTAGACTACGTATATGGTTGTATTCTATGTCTCCACATATTCCCAGAATACCTTATTCAAAACTCAGTTTCCGGGATAGAGTTTTTAAATAGGCTAATCACCAATCCCATTCTGATAATCTGAATAAAAATATCTACCTTGAGTAAATCCAGAAGCCGAATGAGTACTTTCATAAAAGAAACGATCGCCATATTTTAAATTATGAAACTGTTGTCCTATAATACAACCAAACGTTGGTCCCACTACACCACCACGTGCAGGACTTTCACAGAGTCCTCCAACAAATATATCCACATCGTCAGCGGTCCTGGAAAACAGAAAAAATGAAATTGGGGTTTTAACACACTCTTGCCCTTCTTCGCCAAACGGTCTAATGAAGACGGGAATTTTCACGTGTGCTATGGTTTTGGTTTAGTATAACTGGGAGTGCATCTTTAACATAGTCCAATTTGAACGACCAAACACGTCACCAGGAGGGAAACCAGGCCTGAATACCGTGGAACTGTCCAACTACGATGACACTGTAGAACAGCAAATGAAGGAATTGGTCTAAAGTACTGTGGTTTTCTAATTATGAAAGTAACGATTTAAGTCAGCTAAGCGAGGTAAATTGTGGACTAACGATAGTAGCATTTTGGTTTATGTGGCGTGGTTAACACGCCAAACTTGAAGCCGACAAGTAGAGTCGCCTGTCCATCCTCTAGGGTGCCCTTGTGATTCCCCCAGGTCTCTGACAAAAAAGCGCAAATGAATGAAATGACATTGTACCTAGTCCCGAAAAGATATATAGTTTTCTTTCGCGTGGACGTTAAAGCAACTTCTCTATATAATGACAGCATCTGCCAATCACTTCCACGATATGGTATGCAACGATTAGTCAAGATAGACATAGTACGTGTTTGTGTGGGGAGAGAGTGGGGGGGGATTAAAAATAAGACCTAGGCAGGTCTATCTGAAACCAATAAAATAAAAAGAAACTCACTCGTAAACTTTCGAGAGGAGATCACCGCAGCTTCCAAACTCGGGATCAGAAAATGAAAGTCGTGGTAGACCGCATTCTTCACGGTACTCATTGAAGGGAGGCAATCCATGATCACGACCTCTTTGGATATTGAGCGAGACTATATCGAGAGAACCATTAGGCGTTTGGAACAAACGATCCGCCATTTCTTCGGTCACAAATCGATCACTTTTTTCACTAGGCTCCGAAACCAGATTATTGACAATGTCGGCAAAATTGTGGATTACGCTATCGGTTCGGAAGAAAAGTTCGTGGATTGGGACGTCTGTTCCAGCGATCTTCAAATTATCTGGAATCATTGAATGTCCGAAACGGAAAGCAGCCGCAGCGAATTCGTTCATAATAGTCGGGTTGATGGACGAGTCGTAATGGTACGGAGCATTCAATTTGTATTTCTTCATAAGTTCTGGTCCCAGTAGGACTGGTAGAAATTCGTCGTATGTGATGTGTTGAATAACAGCCGATACGATCTTTCTCGACGTCTGGAAGATGTCTTCGTCGGTTAATCTCGCGACCTTAAATATCTGTGATAGCTGGGAGAGTTGTTTTAATTCCATTGCGATCTTGTTATGGAAGCGGACAAATAGGGTATGTAACACAGCTAGTCCTGGAAACACGTTTACACGTGCATCACCTGAAACCAAAACAAGGAGTAGGTTTTCTAATTATTACGTTTTAGATTCAGAGTGTCAGAATTGCACTTCGCCATTACGGCAGCCACGCTTATAGACTGAGTGAGGCACCGACTCTAAACGGGTCCCAGGTTGGATACTAGTGCTGGCCGAGAAAGATTCCAGATTTGGTTGTTCCCCGTCCGTGGTACATAACTAACAGCCTTTAGTCGTTCGGGGCGAATATCCTGTCCCAGTGTGACCATCTGCATGCACGCAAACGAACCATTTTCGTTGAAAAACAGTCAGAAGCAGAAACAAGACTGTACGGGCAAAAAGGCCCATTAGGTCGTCCTTGCCAGAAAGAGTCGGTTAATATAATCCAGAAACCATACAATGTGTAACAAATATACCTGCTAGAAAGCAATAGGAATCGGAACCTTCTGGTTTTCTACAAGAGGCATCGGTATCTTCAGGTAATAGATCACCGGGTGAGGTTTCTAACAGTCCTGTAAAGAAATACATTACAGTTTATAAGTAGAGTGTTGCTTCATACTCAGTGTCTTATTTAAAAAGAAAGACCCTAGGTCCGTCGTAATTCTCCACCCACTTTACTAGAAGATGAACTAATAATTTGAGTTTTAAACACAGTTGAACACAGATGGGGATGGTGAAGGGTATTTAAGCTTATGCATGTAAAAGGTTTATGACAGTGATATCCTAGGCTTCCGCCTATAGATAAACCAGGCCGATCATATATGGGCAATTATACCGATTTTAGCACCCTGTGTTTGGATATGAAAATCGCCGATCGGTCGGGATTTGATGTAGAGCAGACTAAATAGACGAACTATGCCCTCGGTCCATGTTATAAATTTCCGAACTGTGCCCTTACCATCTACGCCAGTTCTTAAAGCCATCATTTCATCATCTGAACTTCCATATACCACAGAACCATCTACAAACGCCGTGATACTATTGAACTGTTGTCTTGGTACTAAAAATGATATCCAAAAGTCTTGAGATATATATGCCATATGTCTAGAATTTCAAAAATACAAAACGAGAAAGAACCATCACGACCGAACCAAGATGACCACAACCCCGTAGGACCGAACCTGGAACAATTCCAGATATGGTTCCAAGGGCCAACCACCTTCCTCCTATATACAGACACCCAAAACCACCAGCCTAGACCAGACCCGACCTGCTCCTCTAAAAAGGGAATCATCTTATTTCCACGCCGAGAGCTAGGTTTGTTTGTCAAGATTTACTGGGTGTAAGCTGGTTGCAACAAGGCTCGTTTGCAAATTGTTAATTGACAGGCATTGTAATGGAAATGGGGCATCCACGCGAGAAGGAGTGATACCCCTGCATTTTACACGATGGTCCAAGGCACTTGTCTGCGATATCACTCGGAAAAATCGGACGTTAAACGAACGACCTAAAACACGAGCTCGACCGTTGGAAGATGTGGCCAAAATAGATCACCGAAATACAAAATCAAACTTACAATCTTTTCCAAATGATCTAGATCTGCCGAAACTCAAACAATTTGTCTTGAAAAAGGAGTCTTCGTTCGATATGAAAATGGGAAAACAGTTTCCTCTGAAAGATATAAACAGGAGATCACTTTTTCATGGATTCGGATCACTGCTATCGGGTTCCTTGAAAGTGGGTCCTTATCCGTCTTCCCGACAGCACCAAGTTGCAATTGATCATACTTTTCAATGGTTGCGCAAAGGCGAATAAATTTGATTATCCAGGTGTATCCAGCGAGTCATGTAAGACATTTGAACTTTTATGTGCAATGCTATACAACTTTCAACTAACATTGGGTGCCTTTAAGATATGTTGGCCCATGTACTCTACAGAAATAAAGTCCACCGCTGATAGTTCGAGACTACCACTGAAGAGTACACATTCGCCGTGCCGAGACCAACTTTCTGATAGTATGATACTATAAATAGCCATGGCACGTGCAATTCTCTACAAATCTATCAACTATTACAGCCGTAAATAATTTATTGTTGACGGTTTTGAATAGCAGTGAAATTAAGTTGCTTGGTTATTACAGCAGATTTAGAAATTACGTTCGTTTCATTTTTTAAATCGCTTTATCATTAACTGTACCGTTAAGAGCGGCGTCTTTTGGTTTAGTACAAATAATATCTCTGAATCACTCGGGTTAGACAGGAACATGATACTAGCAGTAGTTTCATTTTACTTTTACAAGGTTCGTAAAACGATTGTTGAGCTACCTAACGTGCTTATTTCTAAATTCAATTTCTTGTTCTAGCTTTCTGTTATGTTTCGTAAAAAAGTAGTCTTGATTATCCCGACCTGTCAATCAGACGTAGAATGGTCGATAGACTGGTTAAGCGAGACTAATTTCAAAACAAGGGCACGTAACCTATCTTTTACTCAAAAGTGTCTGGATGTTATGGACGACACTTGGAACCAGTTTTCAGTCTATTATTTATAGATGATTAATGGTCATAGCTTATTAAGTACAACATGATCGTTTATTTAGTGACTATAATTGTGTGAAACTGATTTGAGGCTTGGCATATATATAAATATTGTGGCGTAATTGTCGAGATATATGGAGATATATGGAGATATTTATTTATGGTGGGTCACCCTATAAGAGCAGTTTTTCGTCCCACCCCAACACTTTGTCGGCTAACAACGTTGGTGTCCGGCTTTATTGGGCCGACGTCGAAATTTAAACACGGGAAAATAATAGTTCACAGTGAGGGGGGGGAATGGTGTTTAACGTCCGATCGATACAAACTAGGTCATTCCTGGACTAACACATGGTTCAATTTTATTTCAATAATTCGCTTGCGCGCAGGGGTCTTTAGCAGTGGGAGGAAACCGAAACCCCGGAGAAAACCCACGAGGTTGAACAGGCGACCCTACCCCTTGTCACGTACAACCACGCCAGTTGACTCAATGATACAACGCTAACCATTCGGCCATTCAGTGGCGGACTAATTGTGTTCGACTTAGAATTTATACAAGTGGCTAGAGAATACCAATGCCGATTTACACGTTATTTATAGCATCGAATACACGCCTGGGTATAAAGCACAAGTCACAGAAACTCAATTTCAAACTTTGTCAGGAACCATCCATCTGGTGCCGGTCATTTCTGTTTTTTGTTTTTAGAAAATTTAAATAATATCCGGTATAAAGCCCAAAATTTTAGTAACTAGATCATCGGTTCCCGACATCGTTATTTACGTCAGATCGTACCAGTAACTGCGATTCACTAAAAGAAACTTACTCGGTGTATGCGTAACTGCTAGTCATACCATCACAGCATTCACTTTTCACAACTGAAATAAGGAAGTTAACATTGACAGTATACAAAACAAATAAACGTATATTATAGGTCAAAAAATATCACTGGAGAGATTTAACAGCCGAAGTCTCTTTTGTATTTGATAGTTACTTCCCTTGAAATGTGTCCGACCTGACTGGCTTTTAAAATGTTGAATCTTCAAACTGAGCGTGTTCTTAAGGACCAATTTCATTCATTTTTACATTTTAAAAATCAAGATCTGCGAATGCCGAACTATTGTCTTCCCCTGGGAAAAAAAATCAATATTTTGCTCACCTTTTTCAGCCGGAGTTGAAGTCGTGTCATGGTCCAAAAACTGCGCCCATTGCATAACCATCAAACTATGTCTTGGTGATAGATTACTCAATGATCCGTGTATGGCTTCACATACAGCTCGTGCACTTGGTAGAGGCGTAAAGGATGCACTCAGTTGCCTTGGTATGGAGTCGTCTAGATATAGAAGAAAAACAAAATACAGCTAATTTCATTGCATATCGATACAAAGGGGTGGGCACGGGTTTTAACTCACTTTTTCTGAACCATCCTGGTTATTGAAGACGGAAACGAAATTGGGTTTAGCGTCCAGCTTTCCTACACCAACCAGGCCAATGTGAGAGTAAGAGTGGAAGACATGGGGTTTAACGTCTACTCGACACAAACTAGGTCATTTCGTGACAAACACATTTCAATAATTCGCTGCGCATAGAAAATCGACGAGGTTTGACAGGCGAGCCTACTCCTGGTGCCGTACTACCGGGGAATCGAAACCACGCCAGTTGACTCCATGACAGACCTTATGATACAGCGCGCACGTGCTAACCAATCGGCCATCCAACCCCCAGTCCAATGAAAGAAAAACACAGACTGACATAAGCCATACAGTATATCAGATATGAGATCAATTATCACGCTGACAAGTACACGGGTGGAACTTGCCTCTACGTCAAGTCCGAAATTATAGACTCTTTACTATGTCAGGTCCAGCACCACTGACGAGTGGAACCCGGGCTCAGTAATTAAACTGGAACCTCCTGGTTAGGCCACACCAAATGCATTTTATGTCCTATGGGGTTTTGACAAATAGTCATTTGAATCACTTGAAGGTGTTTTAGTTTAAAATTTCAAAACATAAGTGTGATACTAACAGACTTTGCACAGGGCAACCAAATATTTTCGGCTTGTAAATAATTTTTTTTCCTCGAATAATTTTTTTACACGTGTTCTGAAAACAGAATAGTTGTGGCTTTACTGAGTCATTTTTGTACTCATGGATACTACCCTCATCAAACTTTGAGTATCTAAAATTGACAAGCACCAATCAAATTGCCTTTAAATCCACTACGGGCTTTGGTTTAATTCAAAAGCGTTTATTTTTTTTCCCGGGAAGGGCAGATAAGCGGTCTTTGATAAATTTGTTTATATCTCTGCTGTCGTAGATAGACCAAAATAAACTTACCGTCATCGTAACATTCAGCCGCCATACGAACATACGGTGCATCAGCCTGGCCCCAAGACGGATGTAGTAAATTATTACAGCTACCGTTGGCCGTTCTGTACTCTTTATTCACATTTTTACATTCTGTGGTTAATCTGAAAAATAAACCCAAAAAACCCGGAACCTTTTGTTTAGTCCAATGTGAAAGTTCGGAGAATGGCATTGAATTCAAAACGCAAAGGAGCTTACGGGAAAACGGAATTTAATTCCAAAGCAACATATCTTTAACGTTCCCATCCAATTAGTACATTTAACCAGTCCGACAAAGATTAACCCGATAATCTAATCATGTACCTTAAGCATCATTTTTAGCCTATTAAATGGCAGGACATTTTAGTTTCGTTTTAAGACAAATTTTGTATTCTGAAAGTCAAATCCCCGACAGGTTTTTCGTCCCATCCGCACGACTATGCACAGTTTCTTATACACCCTGTCCGTACAGCACCACTGATACAACTAGACCATTCTTAAACCCCACGAAAATAGCTAAACCATTCTTAAACTCCGCGTGCACTTTTATCGGCCAGAAGTATGGAGTACTGCAATTACATCCCAAATGGTTATCCAATCAACGTCACTTATTGTTCTTTGAGCTTTACGGCTATACCTACCTACCTACCTACCTACCCCCCCCCCCCCAGCAATCACAAAAGCATCGATACACTCAAAACTAATGCAGTGCTTGATCTGAACATCGGCTTCCAAAAAAGTATACGAACACCAAAATTAAAACAGAACTTAATCAGCGGCCGAATTTTCAGTGAGTATCCTTCAGTCGTTACCTCGGTTCTAAACGAGTCGATGTGCTACTACCATCAGTGTCACTAGTCGGAGCTAGACCATCTGTTAACACCGATGACGTTAAAGATTGACGTAGTGTCCTAAGCTTGTCTTTACCTGTAACAAATGAAATGGGGTTTACCATTCTACTTTTCTGCCCCGATAGTGCTAATAAAGATGGCCAACGCCATACAGTGTGCCAAGAGGGAAATTTTGCCCGGGTAGCGGCACTATGGCCCACTCATATCGAATTTCAACTGCAAGGGATCTTTAAGGTGCACGCCGATGTATACCCTGGGTCTGTTTTTCGTCCCACCCGAACGACTAGACAGCGCTCCTTGTCTGGCCCTCCTTCCTGCACCACCGCCAAGGGGAAACCACTGTGCTATTAGTAAAATTTTTCCCCGAATAGCGACACTACGATCTACTCCATTTCGAATTCAATCTGTCAAGGGTCATTTACGTGCACGCCGAAATGTATACGGGCCCTCTGTTTTTCCACGCTGGAAACTTTATCATCCAGCACCGGGACCGAAACTCCCGACTTATTGGTTAGCGAACCAGTGTCTTAGAGCCACAGCTATTTGTATATTTAACAAACAAAACCTAAAAGCAATAGGAATCGGAACTTTCCAGTTTTCTACAAGAAGCATTGGAATCTTCAGGTAATAAATCACCATATCCACAATTTAGTACACTAATGCGGTTCTACCTCTATTTTATTAAATGGAAATGAATTGAAATGGGGTTTAACGTCCTATTCTCCGAACTGGGCTAATGAAGACGGCATACGCTATGAGGGAAATTTTACCCGGACAGCAGCACTACGACCTACTGTTTTATTGAATTCCAACTGTCAAGGGATCTTTTACGTGCAACCCAATGTGTACACGGGACCTCGGTTTTTCGTCCCATCCGAACGACTAGACAGCTGTCCTTGTCAGGCCCCCCGTCCTACATCACGGACAAGGGGGAACCACGCGTCATAACCTCCATAATTGTCTTTTATATAATCACCAGCTCTGTTCCGTTTCTCCAAGTTTTCTCCCATAGATCGAACTGTAAAACACAAATAAAATGAAACGTTTAGTTTTCTCCTGGATCAAACTGAAATCAAATAAAATGGGGTTTAACGTCCTACTCCTAACCTGGGCTAATGAAGACGGGCATACGCCATACAGTGTGCTATGAGGGAAATTTTACCCGGGCAGCGGCGCTACGGCCTACTAGAGCGGGAGCCCATTGGGTTAACCTAGCTGAGAGTGTACCAATTTTCTTCTATATGGTATCAATGCATGTATATCTGGGATCAGAACGCAAGTCTGCCGGGTTTCTGGTGGTGGGTGTGGTATTCCACGCCCAAAATGCCCCCCCCCCCCCCCCGCCGTCCAACTAGGCTAGATTAGCTCAAAAGTGTACGACATGAAAATCGTACAGCAATGTACCGTACATCTTCAGGTGTTACAAAAACACTTTTAATAGACATTTCTAGTGGTGGGTTACCCCTGATAGAGCTATGTAATTGTCAGACATTTGTAGTGGTAGAGTATCCCTGACAAGCGTTTTCTAATTTCCAGACCGCAGCTAGGCTAGATTAGTTGAAATCTGTACCACACCCACCACCGGAAACCCAACAGACTTACATTCTGATACCAGATATACATGCATTGATAACATAGAAAAAAATTGGTACACTTTTCAGCTAGGTTGGCCCCCCTGGGCTCCCGGTCTATACTCTTATATCCAATTCCAACTGCCAAGGGATCTCTTACGTGCATTCCAATGTGTACACGGGACCTCGGTTTTTCGTCTCATCCGAAGGATTAGCCAGTTGTCCTTGTCAGGCCCTCCGTTCTCCACCAGTGACAAGGGTTAACCACGTCGGGAAATCAAATAAAATAGGAACGTTCCGTACTTTTCTGATCCAACCGTGATACAACCAAGACCGGTATCTGCCATTTTCACCATTTTCCAATATCCCGGAGCTATTTGGCTGCATTTTGGATTTATTCCATTTTTTAAACATATACTCTTAACTGATTCTGGGTATTTTATGTGCAAGGCCAAATTAAACACGACTCTGAAAGAATTAACTTCAGTGCTATTGGTGCTAGGCTCTCTAGTAGCGGATTGTCTTAATTTGACTGCCAAAACGGATTTTCAACTGATAAGGGTTCTTTTACGTGCACACCAACTTGTCATTTTGTATTTAAGCTTCCTCATTTCATATAATTAGGCAAGTCAACAATTAATTAAATTAGTATACTATTCAAAAAAAGTAGGGGATATTTGATTTTTAAGTGTTATTAAAGTCACCTAATGAAACTGACGAAGAAACAAATGACAAAATGAAATTTAGCACTCCCAGGGTTTGAGCAAATAGAGGTCTAGGAAATGACATGGGTTTAACGTCCGACTGGGCTAATGAAGACAGGCGTACGCCATACAGTGTGCTATGAGGAAATTTTGCCCTGACAGCGGCACTAAGGCCTACTCTTATATCGAAATCCAACTGCCAAGGGATCTTTTACGCGCACGCCAATGTGTACACGGGACCTCGGTTTTTCGTCTCATCCGAACAACTAGACAGCTGTCCTTGTCAGGCCATCTGTCCTGCACCAAAGGGAAACCACGTCGGAGAATCCGGATGAACTTTCTCGGCCAATGCTGGGATCGAAAACGTGACCTCCAGACTAGCGAGTCAGCGCGTTACCCACTTAGCCACCGTGTAGAGGTATGTGCTAAGAGGTATTTCTCAGTTTGAAGCGCTAGACGGAATCAGTTTTGAGATGTCCAAGGGTTAAGGCCATTTATATTCTCGATAAAAGTTATAAGTTTACCATGTCGAGTTTCCGTGGTTAATAGATGACATACCACCACCAGTAATAAAACAATCAGTTGCTTCATGGCTTCCACAATAAATTATACCTTAAAAAAATGAAATGGGGTTTAACGTCGTACTGTTCTGCTTCGACTGGGCTAATGGAGACGGGCTTACACCATACAGTGTGCTACGGCCTACTCAATCGAATTGCAACTGCCAATGGATCTTTTACGTACACGCCAATTCGTCCCATCCGAACGACTATACGTTATCCCTAGCCAGGATCCCCGCCCTACACCACTGACAGGGGAGGCCACGCCGGAAAATTTGATGAAGTTCCAGGATAGCGAGCCAAAGTCTTTCATTCACTGGGCCACCGTTACTCCCCTGATGTGTTGAAATTCCAAGCTATGCGTTTTATTGAATTAAAACATTAATATGCCATGATACATGGACCGCTCCACGGAACACAATTCCAAGTAGCCACGAGAACGCATATTCCTGAAGCAATGTCCAGAGAAATCGCTCTCTGGCCATTGCTGGATTGGCTTCCGATACTTGGGTTTTTGAGGGAGTTTGTCTATTATTCCCGTTCAATCAAATCTATCCCAAGTACAACAACATGACAGCCCTTCGTTTAATTTAGGTCTTCCCTAAAACTTTTGGACAGTGATTTAAGGTATTGTTTACATTGTTTTCAATTGATAGCCTCGTTTGTCACGCAATTAGTTTTTCTGCAATATTGGGCATAATAAAAGCGCGAGTCATGACGTAACGTTATGTAAAAATATATATTTGTTCCAATTTGAAGCTGTTTTAAGCGCAATGCTTTTGTAACGCAGTTAGCTATTGGTTGTTAATCGGACCATTGACTAGTCATAATTTGGAACAGAAATTTGCCTTCGTTAAAGCAGCGTTTGGTGGGATTAGGTATAAACAAACGAAACACTGCGAGGAGTATGCGAGAACGTTAAAGATAGATACATTATGGGAGATTCGATAACGAGTTGGCAGTTCTCACTATAATAGTTAAAAACTAGATAACGTAAAGGCAATTTGCTGAAAATTTCATTCAAATTGATCCACTATGAACCGAAAAATAAGCGAATGAAATTTCTGCCTAGCCTCGGTCATCATTACTAAAGTCAGTACGATAAACAGAATAGTCTCGATTATCCATTTAATCGTTTAATCGAGAAAGAAAGTTATGCAGTAAATCGGCTCACAATCCACTTAAGATCGCAGGCTGGCGATGCCATCGAGAGTTGATTATGGTATGGATAAGTTAATGAATGTCTAATAATTTAGATAACATTTCAGGCCTAAAGAAAGACCTGCAATAGACAGATTTAGCGCTTGCATAATGTATGTTTAAGATCCAGAGTCGAAATTGTTTCACTGCTGATAGCTTCAGTCTTCGACTCGGGCCACATTGGTGGATTGTACCTAAACCATCCTTTGCTCAGGTTGTGTAATGTTGATTTAAAATTCATTTGGCTCTCAAAAAGTTATTACTCATAGCGGAAATATAATAAAATGGGGTTTAACATCCTACTGTTCTGCTCCGAACTGGGCTGAAGACGGGCATAGTGTGCTATGAGGGGAAATTTTGCCCGGACAGCGGCACTACGGCCTACTCTTATATCGAATTCCAACTGTCAAGGCATCTTTTACGCGCACGCCAATGTGTACACGGGACCTCGGATTTTCGTCCCTTCCGAACGACTAGACAGCTCTGTCCTTGTCAGGCCCTCCGTCCTGTATCACTGACAAGGGGGGGAACCACGCCGGAAAATCTGGATGAACTTTCTCGGCCAATGCAGGGATCGCACACCCATCTTACCCACTTAGCCACCGTGACCCTCCTCACAGCTAAACATAATTAACTACTCAACATTGAAATGAAAACTTACGGCCATAATTCTATGATTTTGAAAAATCCAATGGCTACTCGAGATTTACGTGGGTAACGGCATGACCATATAAAACAGGTCGCTTTGAAAATGTAAAATGTATTACCTCAAACTAAAAGAGAAACTGTTTGGTGACTATAATAATGGTTCATACTTCATTGTTTGTTCAAAGTATTTATTTGAGTACAAATGTGTTAAAAATTGTTCGTTTGAGAGATCATTTTTACTTGCACTAAGTTTCAATGAATGTACCAAGTGTAACGAGGCCATGTCCAGGCTACAATATTTCAGCTTGGTCCAGAAATGAGACGAGATATCTTAGCTACATTCAAGTTAGATATATCTTGACCCTTCTCTCTCAAAATAGAGAGAGAGAGAAATGGGGTTTAACGTCCACTCGACACAAACTAGGACATTTCGGGACTAACATATGGTTTAATTTTTATTTACATAATTCGCTTGCGCGTAGGGGTCTTTAGCAGTGGGAGGAAACCGGAGGCCCCGGAGAAAACCCACGAGGTTGGACAGGCGACCCTACTCCTTGCCACGTACAACCGGGGATTCGAAACCACGCCAGTCGACTCAATGACAGACTTTATGATACAGCGCGCGCACGCTAACCATTCAGCCATCCAACCCCCCCTCTCAAAACAGTATACCGCACTTCCCCTCCACACAGAGATTCATCTACTTCATACTTCGAGAATAGATCTTTGCACTGAATGGCCGCCATATACCAAAATTAGTATACTATTTTGTAATGCTGTTCTACTCCGTTTCATATCTGTCGTATACACCACATATGTCGTATACACCACATATCTGTCGTATACACCACATATGTCGTATACACCACATATCTGTCGTATACACCACATATCTGTCGTATACACCACATATCTGTCGTATACACCACATATCTGTCGTATACACCAGAAAGAACAAATAAACCACTTCAATTTTATTGAATGGATGCGGGTTAAATATTTTTCAAAAATTTTCGAAATATACATAATATTTTCGACTAAAACCGTCGATTTAGGACTTAAAATGTCGGTCAACTAGCTTAGTGTCTGTTCTCAAGCGGTGCTTACTTTAGACAGGCATTGAAAGTATAGTATATCTCATCTCTTGACCCTTATAACAGACATCAAATTTATCTCGACGTTTTTAGCAACGTTGTCGTAGCTACGTGTCAATCTGAAATTCGAGTCCCTCATGGTGTAAATAAAACCCCACTTACCTCGTTGATATTTCTACTTTGACTGCCTACGAGTAAACAGAAATAATGTGTGTAAGGAAATGCACGTGCTAATATATACGATGAGAGTTTGGGCGAGTTCTTTTCTAGCGAAGGCGTGTTCTAGATCGTCAAAGAATGATACTGAGTTTGGGCGCGAAACGTTTTCGCTGGATATTAGCACTTAGCAGGTCCCACCAAACCAATAATGTCACCACCCAGCAGGCCTCAAAAATGTTGGCGGGCAAGGGCTTCTAGGGGCGCCGATGGGGCCTCCGATGTACCTACACTTGGCGTTCCACGGCGAACGGCACCGTGGACGCGCCTCCCTTTAGAGAAGGGGCTAGGATGCTCTTCCCTCCATAGAATTTTGGAAAACAGGGTTTGCAACTGGGGAGAGGAACTATGGAAATGACAGAAAATTTCAATTTTAAGGACAAATTTGCGATATTGGCGTATTATGATATTTTGATATGAAAATTATAAAATTTGAATAAAGCAATACGACTTTAGCGTACCTATAATAATTTATGAGAAAAACGAAAAAGTTCGGAATCGTGTTAGAGTGCGACTTGTTTGAATTTTAAAGATTATCATGCCTTGCGTGGACTTGAATCAATCTCATGCACATCGTGAATTTGACCTGGACAATTTCCTACAATCTCCAGTTGGCTCTGTTATGGTGATTTGGTTGTGGCGACCCACCAATCTCGGCATTATGTGCGCCACTCCGGGATAAAGCAACCCACCAATCATGCCGTTTAGGGCGCCTCATTGATCAAGTCGTGGGCGCCCAACCAATCTCACTCGACATTATGCATTATGTGCGGCCCAACAATCATGTCATCATGGGCGCCCCTCCTGGAAAAGAACCTTCTCTTTCTTATATATATAAATGATATCGTTAAGAACATAAAATCGAATATTCGACTTTTTGCGGATGACACTAGCATCTATCTAAAAATTAAGGACCCAACCGCATGCGCGACTGTCTTAAATAGTGATCTTGAAATGCTAAACAAATGGGCAAAAACGTGGCTGGTTTCCTTTAACCCGCTGAAAACTGAATATTTGCACTGACTACTAAACGAGACCCATTGTTACCTACACTAAATTTGAACGGAATTCCTATTAAAGAAGTTTACCAACACAAGCATTTGGGATTGACTTTTCAGAAAAACTGCAAATGGGACAAACACGTTAACATTATTTTGACTAAAACGAGTAAAATGATTAATTGTCTTAGGTCTTTAAAACACCGCCTTAATAGAAATACCTTGAAAACTATATATACCTCTTTTATTCTTCCTCATTTTGACTATTGTGACGTAATATGGGATGGGTGCACAGACGAACTAAAAAATAAATTAGAACACTTACAACTAGATGCACTCAGGACTATATGCGGGGCGGTGAAGGGTACCAGTCATAGGTTATTATATGAAGAAACAGGATTTATCACTCTGCAAGAGAGGCGAAGGCGTCACAAACTCATCTTAATGTACAAAATTATTAATCAGCTAACCCCTCCATACCTCCACAATTTAATCCAGTTTTCTAAAACTCCATATACTCTTCGTAATAGCAATAATTTAACTGATTACTTTTGTCCAACAACTTTATTCTCTAAATCCTTTATACCTTCTACCACAATGGAATAACCTTGATATAAATATTAAAAATTCGACCTCTATAAGTAAATTTAAAACTAAAATAACTGATAAAGATAAAAATATACCACCTTGTTTCAACTTTGGCAAACGTAAAAATCAAATATTACATAGTCGTCTTCGTCTCTCTTGCAGTGACCTAAATGGGCATAAATTCTTAAGGCATATTTCGGACAGCCCCGAGTGTGATAGCGGTCATTCCTTCGAAGATATCGATCATTTTCTTTTACATTGCTCCTTACATTCAGATGCACGCAAAATATCTATAAATCTTTTACCACCGAATTTTATCAATACACATAATCTGTTATACGGTGTAAGCAGCAGTCATATTTCTTTAGCAATCTTTGAAAAGGTCCACACGTTTTTTGACATCAGCAGAAGGTTTTAAGATCAGTGTAACATCTATATCGATTAAAATGCAAACATGAACAACTGCGTAGCCAATGTGTAAATATGTATATATAAAATGTTGATGATTAAGTATTCATTTTATTGTTTTGTTGTTTACTCATTTATTTCTTTTGTTGTTTACTCATTTATTTCTTTTGTTGTTTACTCATTTATTTCTTTTACATATCCATATTAATTCTTGCATTTTTAGGAGAGAGGTCATATAGGCTATGTCTGTTCCTCAATCCCTTTCAATTTCTGAATAAAATATTGTTTAAAAAAAAAACCACACAGATCATGTCGCGTTTTAGGCGCCCCCTCAGTCGGGTTGTGGTTGGGAGCCTAGCCAATGTCATTTGGTTTTATGGATGCCTCACCATTGGGGGGGGGGGCGCCTCATAATATAATATAACGACATGATTGGCGAGGCGCCCATAAAACCAAGTGACATTGGTTGGCCGTCCGAGTCAAACGAACGTCTTGGTGACCAGGAATTGGCTGGCACGTTGACACCAACACGGCGCAAAAGGAGTAACCAATCCAATGATGTTTTTATACGTTATATGTATTTATAAACCTGTAACGGTAAATCTCTTTGATCTTTGGGGTATATTCTATGCCCGGAATAACTTGAGGTCTGAATATATATAGAGGAATTTGGGGTTCTTCTTCTGAAGGTTTTTTTCTTTAAACCGGTATCGGGCTATTCGTCCAGGGTTGGGTTTTTTCCCATAAGAAAACATGATATAAGGTTTTTCTTACCGGAATTCTAGGATATTCTCATTTTACGTACATGTTTATAAGCAAGATAAAGTCCTCGACTTCGGTTATGCTGGCGAAGAAAGACTTTTCAATGACCATCTGACAAGTTTTACCATCGTGGCCTGTACTTAGATATCCCCAATCTCGGTTCAGCCCAACAAATATTCGTGACAAAGTTGCTTCCGAGCAAACATTAGCATTATAACAGTAGAAATTGCTAAAAGTATCTCCATAATTAATATGATCGATCTTGCCTTCTTTCCGAATTTGCTAGTCCCACTTTAAAATATCCGAACCCAACTCATTAATATCCTAGTCCAACTCTTAATTAACAAAGTCCTAATCTTAAAAGTTCAAGCCCAGCTCTTAAATATGCCAGCCACACTCTTAAAAATCCCAGTCACACTTTCAAATACCCCAGCTCCACTTGCACAATTTCCAGTCACATTCTTAAATTCCCAGCCCCACTCTTATTGAAGTCCTAATCTTAAATATCCCAGCCACACCCTCAGATACCCCAGCCACACTCTTAAATATCTTAGCCTCACTCTTGAATAGCCAAGTCCCACTCTTAAATATGACAGTCACGCACTCATATATTTCAGTCTCAATCTTAAATAACCAAGCCCCACGCTTAAATATGCCAGTCACACTCCTAAATATGCCAGTCACAGTCTTAAATATGCCAGTCACACTCTTAAATATTCCAGCCTGACTCTTACATATCCCAAAAGTAAATTTTCTTGTCCCACTCATAAAATAATAGGGTTTCAGAAGTTGCAGCCAAAATTGTGCACGGTGCAAATAATTTGTTGGCCTCTGCGGAAGCATTTATCAAATATAAATTGGGTCATTTTTGACAAACCGGAATTGTTTAACATCTTTCTCTCAACCCCAACTCCTGTAAAAGTCTAATCAGCATGTCTAGACTCAGGAAGCCGCTACATCATAATTATGGTCATCTAAAGAACCAAGGCGATGTCTACCCTCCCTGAGAATTCAGCAGCAGTCTCTAGGAACTCAGATGGTATCTGTCCGGAACCCAATGCTATCTGATCTTAAAGGCCTCACAGAGTCTCTTTTATAGGACCCATATTGACATCACGCACAGATCAGGTTATGCATAACCCTGAATCTGAGCAATAACTGATATGATTGGGTGGTTACAGTATATGATTCAATTAGTAAATTTCCAAGCACGTGTATTTTACACAATAAATTATCCTTGACTCCATAAACTTTACATCAGTATTTTCCCAATTATGTTTTTGTTTTATAAATATTTTTATGTGTCAACCACTCATTCGGCACACTTTTTCGTAATGCCGATCCATTCGGGCCAGTTGACAGAGTTGTCTCCCTTATTACCACTTCCGTCATTTCTACTGAACATATTGCGGCGCTCATAATTCTGGCTTCGCCCTCAAAGTACGCCCCCCTTTCAAAATATCCTGGATCCGCCCCTGCGACAGAGGTACCCACAATCCACATAAGACGTCATAAAATGCGCAGGACCGTCTCCTTATGCGTGTCATGTCGGAACCCGTCTTAGTGTCTTGTTATTCGAGTCTAAATAGCCGACAAACAAAATTTAAATAGCGTCAAAATCGGATAAACTTATCTCTTATGGAAGCTAAACTACGGTAAAATAAAAAGTTATTGACCGATTCGGCTAAAATTTGGCTAGCCCCAATGAACACACCCTGAAAATGTCAAGTCTCTACGATCACGGGAACTGGTAGAGGTACATTACTGAAATACTGCCGAAAATTCTTACCATAAACTCGCTGGCAATCCTTTTTGGGATGCCAATTGTAACCGAGCAGTAGGGTCGAGAGGATTTTCAACTCAAACTATAGGTTGTTGACGTTTACTACGTAAATAAATTACAAAGAACAATCAGCAGTGCGTTCGTAACTAGAAAAATTGAAGTCGTGATTTCTACTCGAGAACTGGGGTAGCTAAAACTATATCGAGTTCACGACATATTATGACGTAACAAGATGGTAGCTAAAGTTACAAAGTTGAACGCTTTGAACGGTAATTATACTAGTTTTGTAATTATGTTTCTTGTGGATGTGTATATCGATCTGAATAACGGTACGTAATTAATTATAGAATTGTACACACTGGGATACATGTTCTGAACAATGACAAGAAACACATTAAACAGAAAATGAGAAAAAAAACCCGGTTTTCCATTTTGTACTAGTTTTTGTACCGTACGGCGGTTCAGGTTTTAGGACGGTACGGTCTATATCAA